GGGTGCCAGCAACTTTCAGAAATGTGGCAAATCCCATGTGTTGTTGGATCCTGACCCAGCCGATCTGCGTGAGGGGTGAGGGGTTCCACCGAATTTCAGGAATGTGGCGAATCCCTTGTGTTTTTGGACCCTGACCCCGCCGATCTGCGTGAGGGGTGTTAATTTTTACCCACCCCAGAAATTCAGAGAACACGCTCAGGGCGTGCTAAACCTGCCCGTTTGGGCCTCCCCCCTCGCGCGGTCCGTCAACAAGGAACAGTAAGCAGCAAGAAGCAGAACTGTAACAGTGGAAACTGGAAGCTGCGACTGGCACAGGAAACTGCGAACCTTCGGCCTGCAGCCTGGTGGCCCCACAAGGGGGCCGCGGAGTTTTTGACTACTTCTTGTTTTTCGTCTAAAATCCCCTTGTAAGGGGACAGGCCCGACTTAAGCCTATGGAGTAGATCTGGGCTGTTTTTTGGCGCCTGTTTCGAGCGGGTGGAGTCTCCCCCGGAGGTAGCACTCTTGCAGACAGCCGCACTGAGCAGAGAGGTCTGGAGCCAGACCCCCTGCCCCTCCCCCCCACCTTTTCCGCCCAATGTCGACACGCCGTGTGAGAAAAACGCTCACTTGTTGGTATCGTTTCCCGAAGGATTGCAAAACAAAACAGGATTGCAAAAAAAGGATTGCAAAAAAACACAGGATTGCAAAACAAAAACAAGGATTGCAAAGGATTGCAAAAAACATTGTTTTTTTGCAATCCTTCGACTGTGTCTCACCTACGGGTGAGGATGAGTTACCGTCGTCGGCGTCGTCGTTGTCGATCGCGTTGGTTACCGTTGCCCGCGCACCTGTCGTCGATCTTGAAGAATCGCTTCTTTGCCGATCCGTGTAACGGCTCCGCGCGCTCTCTCGCTTCGACGCCGGCCACAGTTTTCGCTGAAAGCGACGCTCCCGCTCCAGCGCGGACTTGGTTCCAAGTCCCAGTTGTTGAAGGCCCACCCCACGTCGACACTTCGTTGCGTTGTAGTTTTCCAAGGACGCTTAGGCTCCCCCCGATTCAAGAGCAGCGCTCTGGCTCTAGACTTCATCGCAAGCCACTCCGGTTGGCCAAGGCCCAGCTGCGACGACAACGGCGCCCGCTCGATGGCTCCTCGGAGGTCACCCTTGGGCGCTCAGGCTGCCAGGGAGGACCCCCGATTCAGGAACGGCGCTCTGGCTCCAGAGCCCCTCGCAACCCACTCTGGTTGGTGAAGGCCCAGCTGTGACAACGGCTCCCGCTCGATGACTTCTCGGAGGTCACCCTGGGTCGCCCTGGCCGGGGAGGCCCCCCAATGCAGGAACGGCCCTCGGGCTCGAGATCTCTTGCAGTCCGCTCGGGTTGGTGAAGGCCTGGCAGCGGCGACAACGGCTCCCGCTCGGTACTTCCTCGCAGCGTATTGCGCGCCCTGGTCCTACGCATTTCGCACTCAGGCCTGGCGCTCTCGCCCGAGACTTTCTCTCTCAGGAAGACAGTCATTGGGCTGGGAGGATGGGGTTGGGAGAGAGGAGGGTGTACTTCGTTCGTTGCATCCGAATGCTACGGCGGCGGCATTGGGTAAGGAAGGTATCGTTCGTCGCATCCGAATGCTACGGCGGGGAGGCCCCGAAACTTGATGTGCCTACTTTCCACCATCACCACCATGAGTTGGAGGGGGGAAGGAGGAGGAGGAGAAGGAGGAGGAGGGGGAGGAAGAGGAGGAGGAGGAGGAGGAGGAGGAGGAGGAGGAGGAGGAGGAGGAGGAGGAGGAGGAGGAGGAGAGGAGGAGGAGGAGAGAGGAGGAGGAGGAGGAAGGAGGAGGAGAGGAAGAAGAGGGGGAGGAGGGCCCCCTCCCCCTCCCACTCATGGCGGTGGCGGCGGAGAACGAGACCCCCCAAGAGCTCCGAGGCGGCGCTCTCTGCCAGCGCCTCGCGCGCTCCAGGGCGCTCCCGGGCGGCGAGTCGCCCGCGGACGCGGGATCGCGCCTGCCCGCCGTGGTGGCGGCGTGGTGCGCGCGCGTCTCCCGGGTTGAAGTCGGGCACGTCCCTCTACTCGGGGGCCCCCCAACGGGGCGGTGACCACACCGTGCGGTGAGTCGGTGGGGATTCGGGGTCACCGCACGGTTTTGGGACTCGAGTCCCTCTCCGAGGACGTCTCGGGCGACAGGGGCCTCCGGGGTCCCAAAACCGTGCGGCGACGGAGCGTGCGGTGAGGTCTGGGGGGATGTCGAGGTCACCGCACGGTCCGTCACCGCACCGTTTCGGGACTCCAAATCTACAGGGGGGATCTTCCAAACTAGCAGAAATCTGTTTCGGGGACGATTTGTCGATTGGTTCGGAGTGCTTTTGAGCATGTGCTGATGATTTGTCATGTTTCCTCCAACATCCCGCTGTAGAAAGACATGCCCGAACGAATCCCAGGTGCTGGTATGAAATGAGATTCTCCAAGAAGGGGGTCGGTTTATAGACTTAGCGGGCGGGTACAAGGGAAAGGCACACACATAAGGGTCAAAGTAGCCTGTTAGACCGCATGTTCGCACGATGATCGTCGTCGTTGTCGTTGGTGTTGTCGTCGTCGTTCTCGTCGCCGCTGCGTTGTTACCGTCGGAGGTTGGGGGGTGAGATCGCAGTGAAACGGAGACCCCCCACCGGGAAATCGGTTTCGGTTTCGTGTTCGTGTCGTGCGTGCGGGCGAGGCGAAGCTGCACGTGATCCTCCTGTAGCTAGGCCGAAGTAGGAGCGAAAGTCCGTTCCCGTCCGCCGGTGGCTGGGAGGTGTCCCAGTTGGGCCGGGCGGTGTCCCGGGTGTCCCGGGTGTCCCGTGGTGCCCCGTGGTGGCCCGTGGTGTCCCGTGGTGTCCCCTTGCGTGAGATCGATAGTGAGATCGATAGTGAGATCGACAAGTGTCCCGTGGTGTTCCGTGGTGTCCCGTTGAGTGAGATCGATAGTGATATCGATGGTGAGATCGATGTGGTGTCCCGAGGTGTCCTGTGGTGTTCTATGCTGTCCCGTTGAGTGAGATCGATCGTGAGATCGATAGTGAGACCGATAGTGAGATCGAGAGATGTCCAGTGGTGTCCCGTGGTGTCCCGTGGTGTTCCGTTCAGTGAGATCGAGAGTGAGATCGATAATGAGGTCGACAATTGTCCCGTGGTGTCCCGTTGAGTGGGATCGATCGTGATATCGATTGAGTCAGATATTGGTTCCCCGTTGAGTGAGATCGATAGTGAGATCGATAGTGAGATCGACAAGTGTCCCGTGGTGTCCCGTGGTGTCCCGTTGAGTGAGATCGATCGTGATATCGATTGAGTCAGATGTCGGTTCCCCACCTGTCTTCCCCCCCCACAACGTCCTTATCTGCCGAAGGGTGGTCGTATAGGCATCGTCGTCATATTACGTGTCGTTTTCTGTTTTGTTTCCGCAGCCTTGCTTTCTCAACGAGTACTTAATGTCCCGCCTGCCTATCCGACTAGACATCCCGCTTGCCTTTATCGTCGTTTTGGCCACCTCCAGTTCTGCCTTCTTACGTCCTCTTCCCGAGCCCTGCCATGCCAGCGCGTGAGAGTTCATTGCGTGTAATGTCCCACCCGCCGGCCCGACGCTATGCGCCTTCCGGCCGTCGTTGTTGTCGCCGCCGCCGTCGTGTGACTGGCCCTCGTCGTTGTCGTCGCCGCCGTGGGTGGCTGTGTGTTACTTCCCCAAGCGTTGTCCCACTGATGAGTGGGGGTGCCATCTATGTCCGTCGCCGTCGTCTTCGTCGCCGTCGTAGGTATTGCTTCTTGCTTGTGTTATTATCTGTTTTCGTTGTGTCTCTCTCTCTCTCTCTCGTCCCCAAACCATATTCTATCCTCGAGTGGGGGCTACATCGAATCCCCTGCTCGCCCGCCCCACTTAGCGTCACTTCCGCCCGTCGTTGTCGTCGACGTCGCCATCATCTTCGTCGCCGCCCAAGGTTGCCCCACTAACCATCAGCGAGTGAGAGTCACAGCTAGTGTCCCGCCTGCCCGCCCGACTGCTCTCGTCCATCGTGCCGCCGTCGTCGTTGCTGTCGCCAGCGACCTCGCTCGTCGTCGTCGTCATTTGCCTCGTTGCGGCCGTCGTCATGTTTATCGTAGGAGGAGGAGGAGGAGGAGGAGGAGGAGGAGGAGGACGAGGAGGACGAGGAGGAGGAGGAGGAGGAGGAGGGGGAGGAGTGGGAGGAGGAGGAGGAGGAGGTGGTCGTCTGTCGTCATCTTCGTCTCCGTCGTCGTCGTCGTCGTCGTCGTCGGCAGCAGCCTCGTCGTCGCCGTCGATCGCTGTCCGCCGCCAGCGCGGGGAGAGGGTTCGAACCCTCCCTTCCCTCCCTTCCCTCCCTTCCCTCTCCTCCCTCCCTTCCCTCCCTCCCTTCCCTCCCCCCTCCCTCCCCCCTCCCCCTCCCTCCCTCCCTCCCTTCCCTCCCTTCCCTCTCCTCCCCCCCTGCGAGGGAGGATGCGCAAGTGGGGGGGGGGGGGTCGGAGGAGGGCCTTTGGATCTGTTTGGGGGGCATCCCGGTTTGGGAGGCTCCCCGCGGGAATTTCCGAAGCGAAGCGAACTAGAAACGCGCCAACTCGCAGTTACGACCCGCTATAGTTTTGTGCCTCTGGCCGCTGAGGGCGGTCTGAGGCTACGCGCTCCGTTCTTCCTCACTCTTCTCTGCGTTTCTCCGGCCTTTGAGCTGATAGTGAGTTCCCCATGATATGACTGCACATGTGGGGGGCGACTGCTGGATGATCGTGGGGAAGGAAGCAAGAGGTCAGGAGAGAGCGGAGAGAGGAGTAAGCCGAGGAGGAGAACTAAGAGTACACGATGTTGGGGCATCATTCCACTCTTAATGCGTGTACGTGCTACGCATCCGCAGAAAGGGATCGCTGCTGATATCATCCGCATGCCGCGTTTACTTTCTACTCATCCCTTCTCCCCGCTCGCTTTGCCATCTGCCTCCCCCACATGTCTGCTAATGTCTCCCCCACCTGCGAGTTCTGCCAGGCTGCGTTTGCACCTGCTATGGCATCCTTTTTGCTCGCGCCGCTGGTGGCGTACGTCATTCTCGAGCCCGAGGAGTGGCGCTCCATGTTTTTTCTTACATGGCCAGGTCGGCCTTCGGGATCATGCAGGGATTGGGTATGATATTCTCCGGCGCATTGATTCGAAAACACGGAACACGTCATGTTTCGTTGCGAGTCGGACATGTCCGTTCCATGTCATGGAGGCATCTGGCCCTCCGCGTCCTCGCTGTCCTCGTCGTCGTCCTTCTCCTCGGCCCCTCTTCCTCCTCGTGCTTATTCTCACCAGCATTCGGCATCCACTGCTGGCGGGTTGGCCCTGGTCAGCTCAGTCGCAGGTACGCCCCGGCAATTCACGATTACGTTTCCTCGCATATGGCCGAAGGGCGACCAGACACAGCAACAGCATGGGGTCTGTAACACGTGTCGGTATCGTTGGCATTCCAAGCCCCACGAGTGGTGCTACGCGTCTGCGGGTCCCTTGGTGGAGTTTCCGTCGGTTCACCGTCGGCCTCAGGGCAAGCGGTCGCTGCAGCGCCATGTGTTCCGTTGTTAGAAGAGTTGCTTGTCGCCGTGCGCAGTCATACTTGGAAACGCGCCCGCTGCTGGTGCTCGAATGTGAGAAGTGGCTGGAGGAGGCTCGAGCCAGCGAGTCTATGGCGCGTCAGTCGGCCTTCGAGTCTGAGCAGCAGTGGGAGGCGGCGTGTGCTAAGCAGTTGTCGGAGGCACTTGCGTCGGCGGCGACAACAACTCTCGCTGCTGCGCGCGCGTCGTCCATAATCCCTCCACACCTGCTGAGGACACAGAGGCAGCTCTCGCAGTCGTTGGCTGCCAACTGTTCAACATTGGCGAGCTTGAGCGCGACGAAGCCGATCGTGGCCTCAAGCGGGGGCGGGCCGGAGCTGAGCTGGCGGCCAGTGCGCAAGCGGGGGCTGCCGAAGCCCTCGGACCCACGGCCCAGCACGCCGCAACTCCGAGGGGAACCCCGGCAGCTCGCCGCTCGCCTGCAGGCCCGGCGCAGGCGAGGCCCCGCCAGCGACCCCGCCGCCGGCGTTGGAGCCGCCGCAGGGGGATTGATCGACGGGCGCAGCAGCGGGTCGGCAGGCTCGGCTGGTCCCGCTGGCAGCGACCTTCCTGCTCCTGGTGGCGATGGCGACGGTTCGGTGTAAGTCGGGCCTGTCCCTCTGCAGGAGGAGTATGCACGAACAGTCCAAACAGGTACGAAGTGTTGGCTGATCTGGTGATCAGTTTCGAATCTGTTTTGATTCTTCACACCCAAATCCCTCTGTTGTGACTATTTTCTTCCATTGTTGGATAATTTCGTTCCTTCCAAAATCCGCCTATGGGGGAACACCCCCGACCTAAGGTTTCGTGGACGCTCTCGCATCAGGCGCAGGGTTCTCCGAGCAGCAGCCTGTGCCGAGGCCGAGTCGGTTTTCGGAAGCACGGCGGCCAGTTGGTTCTAGCGATCAGCACCGCTGCCTCACCACGGGCACGTGGGCGAGCCTGTCCAAGCCGCTCCTCTCCGTGCGATGGCCCGTTCTCTTCACCGACAGGGGAGCTGGAGACCCACCAGTTCGGTTGGCCCCCTGACCCAGAGGCTTACGTCTGATGTGTCGGGGGCTGGGTCCTGTGTCAGTTGTCAGGCGTATCCCTCCTGGTCCTTCTTGTGAAGGCCTTACGGCTGGTGCCGCCGACCCAGAAGGACGACGACGACGACCGCGACGACCACCACGACGACAACGACGACGACGAGCTGATGACCCTGCCACAAGCTCGGGACATGGTGCGGGCGGTGGAGGGAGGAGGAGGAGGAGGGAGGAGGAGGCGGAGGAGGAGACGAAGGAAGATGAGGAAGAGGAGGAGGAGGAGGTGGCGGAGGAGGAGGACAAGGAGGAGGAGGAGGAGTAGGAGGAGGAGGAGGAGGGTTCTCCTTCTCTGTTCTTCTCTGTACGGGTGCTTTCGCACCCCCCCCGTTACGGGGGCATCTTTGTCACGGCCAAAGAGAGGCCGCGCTGGACGATCGGGGGCAAGCCTCAGTCAGGACAGCCATCCAGGACGTATCCAGGAGGCAAGACGATCGAAATTGGTACGGAAGAACTGTGCACAAAGGCCGACAGCAGATCTTGTTCATTTTGGACCGGACTCGCTGTCGGTGTCGCGCCGCGGGCTGTGTCCATGTGAGACAGAAGGCCGTCTGTCCAACAGCGACCGCTGTTGGTTTGGTAAACATGCGATGTTGGGCAGTGCGCCCATGCTTTCCGTACCCATTCCTGGCGTCCACAGGGAGGGTGTTGGGGCCAGGGTTGGGCAAGCTGTGGGCAGCGTGATTAAGAAGCCCGACCCTCCCTCGAGCGCGAGCAAGGAACTCCGCCAGCGAGCCTTGGAAGCGGCTCTCTCGCCTGGGGAGCGCCCTCTCCTGCGATGCTCCCCAGGCCATGAGCGGGCTTTTCAATGGAGACAAGGAGGAGAAGGAAGAGGAGGAGAAGGAAGAGGAGGAGGAGGAGGAGGAGGAGGAGGAGGAGGAGGAGGAGGGAGGGAGGAGGAGCAGGGAGGAGGAGGAGCAGGAGGAGGGAGGAGGAGGAGGAGGAGGAGGAGGAGGAGGAGGAGGAGGAGGAGGAGGAGGAGGAGGAGGAAGGGCTCGGCGTAAATGGCAGAGGAACCCCTGTCCAGAGGGTGGCCGGAGCCTCCGCGCCAGCTGCCCTTCGCGGAGCTGGTGCGACTTCGCGGCCAGGCCCTGCCTACCGGCAGGCGAGCTGGGCGAGGCCGGGGCCTCCGCACAGAGGGAGTGGCCGGAGTCTCCGACCTCGGTCCCGGCGCAGCCGCTCGAGGCTTCTTGCAAAGGAGGAGGAGGAGAAGGAGGAGGAGGAGGAGGAGGAGGAGGTGGAGGGGGTGGGCATGGCCTCCGCTGCACCTGGACTCCGTGGAGCCTCCCTGACGGGGGGTGGCCGAAGCCTTCCGCGGCCAGGCACCCTTCGACGGGTGAGCCAGGCGGTCCCTACGGAGCCCCTTCAGAGCGGGTGGCCGGTGCCTCCGCTGACTTCGCATGGGTGGTGGGTTTCTCAAGCGGCATTTCCAGTGGTATCTCCAGCGGGCCCGGCGCCAGCGGCGAGCGTGGGCATGCGGCTGCAGCGGCGCGGTCTACTATGGACGCCGAGATGGACCCCTTCGAATGCATGCTCGAGTCTGCCGGCCTGGAGAGCGAGCTCGAGGCGCCAATCCCAGTTCGTGAAATTGAGGCGGAGCTTAGCTTTTCGGTGGAGTCCGAGTCGGTCGTGCGACCGCCAGCTCCCGCTGGCTGTTCGGTAGATTCGGAGTAGGCATTGCGACCGCCCAGCTCTGAGGAACCCGTGTTTTCGGGTAAGATGGAGGCGGGCTCTGAGGATGCGGCTCTTCTGCACGGGAATACGTCCCAGTGGGGTCCCAATGCCACGCCTTTCTCAAACCTTTGCGGGTTCCAGGTGTCGTTTCTCTTGGAATTTCGCGTCGCTGCCGACGCTTGCGTCGGCGTCGTTGACTGCAGTCTAGGCCAGGACCGATGGAAAGTCCTTGCTTGTCACAGAGCCCCCGCCAGTAGGGGGGGTCCTCTAGGGGGCAGTGGATGTTCGCCGAGAAGCACATGGCCACGGCCACTTGCAGCGGGGCCAGCGGGCTTCGGTGGCCAACCCGCAGCGCGACTTCTTTTGAGTGTTTCTGGTTTTGATATGGCACCTGTCTCCGGTAGCGCGGTGATGATATGATTTCACCTGCTTCCTGAACTGGGCGCGTCGGGTTGCAGTCGATATATCTATATATCTGTGTGTGTGATTGTTACGGACAGTGCTGTCGTGAAGGGATTCGCCGATCTCTGGGCCACCGTGGGGGTCTGGAGTGTGTCCCGGCTTCCCTCCGCGAGGCGAAGTTCTGGCCGCCAGCAGCTGCGCGACCGCGCGCGACACGGCTGCTGCATGTAGCCTCCTCGAGTTGCTGTGGTGCGTGCCAAGATCTCTTCCCGAGTCTGCGTCTCGGATTTGTTCGCGGTAGGTCGGACAACCCACGCTGATTTCCGAGGCTGGCCTCGGAAATGCCCCGATCCTGACGCTAAGGGGTCGAAGGAACGCTTTGAGGCCTCGGCTGAGCGCCGGGCTAGACTGGCCCCAGAGCCCCAGGACGAGCTCGACTCGATTTGATGCATGGGAGTTCTCCCGCCGTTCAGGGGCAGGAGGCTCGATCGGAGCTTTTCTCTTCGTGTGATCTCTGGGCTTCCTGCGGGCGTCCTGCGGCGTCGATGTCCACGCGTTCTCCCAGCCTTCGCCTGGCGTGCGCAGAGGTTCACTCTGGCCCGTGCTCTGCGGCGCCGCGCCTCGTCCGGCTCCTCTCCGTTGTTGCGGCAGGCGGGCAGCCGTGTTGGAGTGGGCTGCTCGTCGCCGACACGGGAGGAGGAGGAGGAGGAGGAGGAGGAGGAGGAGGAGGAGGAGGAGGAGGAGGAGAGGAGGGAGGAGGGAGGAGGAGGGGGAGGAGCAGGGGAGGAGAGGAGGAGGAGGAGGGGAGGCGAGGAGAAGGGGGAGAGGAGGAGGACGAGGAGTAGGAGGAGGGGGAGGAGGAGGAGGAGGAGGAGGAGGAAGGAGAGGAGGAGGAGGAGAAGAGGGGAGTGAGGAGGAGGATGAGGAGGAGGAGGACGAGGAGGAGAGGACGAGACAGAGGAGGAGGAGGAGGAGGAGGAGGAGGACGACGACGAGGAGAAGAACGAGGAGGACGAGGAGGAGGCCGAGGAGGAGGACGAGAACAAGGAGGTGGACGAGGAGGACCTCCGAAACCGATGCGGAGTCGGGCTCGGACGGGGCTGCTGGGCGCACCGAGAGCTGGCGGGAGTCTCCGGCCACGCCCGCCAGAACTTGCAGGATTGATGGGCCCCTCCTCCCCACCTCCTCCTCCTCCTCCTCCTCCTCCTCCTCCTCGCCCTCCTCCTCCTCTCTCCTTCCTCCTCCCTCCTCCTCCTCCTCCTCCTCCCCTCCTCCTCCTCCTCCTCCTCATCCTCCTCCTCCTCCCCCTCCTCCTCCTCCTCCTCCCTCTCCTCCCTCCTCCTCCTCCTCCTCCTCCTCCTCCTCCTCCTCCTCCTCCGCGCGGCAGGTCCCCCCCGCAGGCACAACACCCGCCGCATAACCGCTCCTTACAGACGACAGGCTCGGGCCATGAGGATTGACGCGGGACGGGAGCCCGCGCGAACGCGACCTCTGCTTCGCCTCTGGACGCCAAGACTCGACAGATACGCAAGCACACGCCCCTGCTCCGCCCATCGCAAGTTTGAGAATGCCCCCGCCCCGACCCCACTGCAAGGGACTTATGATCGGTAACGAGATGCACCGACCATCGCGATTGTCCAGTGCGAGGGCAAAAACTGCAAGCTTGACGTTGGGGCCGCCTAGGCCCTGCCAGCCAGGCCGGTCGAGCTGCCCCCCTCGGAGCTCCCGAGTGCCCTCGGCTTTCAGAACCATGATAACGGCGCCAGACGAGGATCGGACGAAAACCGCACTCCAGAACCGTCACCGAAAATCATGGTGGTCATGCCTTCCAGGCAGCAACTCAACAGATCCGACCCGTTCACGTCGACCACGCCGACAGACTCGGCCCACTCCCCAAAGGGTGAGTGAGGCAGGCACGAAGAGACTCCACGGAGCCAAAAGCCCGGGGGAACCTCTTCCCGGGCCAACGCCCAGGGAACGAGGCAATCGCTCTCAGAGTCGCATTCGTGGCCAGCATGAGCTTCGCATAACCGAACTAAGAGAGACAAAGACTCGGGGCTCATCCTGCGCCACGGGCAGAGCTGCTCCTCTGAAGAGCCTCGGGGAGATCGGCGCACGCGAGGCTGCCGAGCGCCGCCCGCGACAGCCAGCCACATCAATTACATATCGCCGTCTATGTCCGAACCTGTTTCATGATGGGCCGCCTTGGCCCACTGGAGCGCTCTGAGATCTCCGAAGGTCCCCCAGAAGCTAAGAGACATCGAAACCAGACGGGCCATGATCCTCAAGGGAGGGGGCAGGGGCAAACGAATCTTCAACCAGACCCGCCAACGCGCGACGCTGCCGGGACACCGCGCACTGAAGGTCCCAACCAACATTCAAAGGCGCGGCATGGACGGCTGAAGCTGGACCCCATCACCATCCGCCACCCAAATATTCCAACTTGTATCAGTCTGCGGAGGAGAAGGCGTTACGTCATACCCCCCCCGCATCCCCCCCATGACTCCCGTCATCGCCGAAAATAAAGAAACGCGCCCTAGCAGCGTGTTGGGTCCTGCTTCTCTCGGGGTCCCTGCTGCGTGTGCGTGCCCATGCTGAGCGTGCGTCGTGCTGCTGGCTGCGTGTGGTGGGGGCGCGGGGCCCTTTACCAGATGCAGGCTCCTCGGCGGGTCTCGTTCGGACCAGGGCGGAGCCTATTTGCTGGTCGAATGAAAACGGTTTCTTTCCTCCGCTGTCGCTTTCGCGCCAGGGGGGTAAGAAATTGACGACCGAATGCCCTGGCCGCCGCCTGTCCTGCTGTCCCCTTTCACGAGCGCGGCCGGATCTGCCGAGATACGCAGATAAATGTTGTGGAACGCTTGAAGTAGCAGTGGGAGGAGGGGAGGGGAGGAGGGAAGGGGAATGGGGGGGAGGAGGAGCACAGGAGGAGGAGGAGGAGGAGGAGGAGGAGGAGGAGGAGGAGGAGGACCAGTGTAAACCCAAGAGTCATCAAGGATGTTGGAATTAACCCTTCCCTCCAAGTTCGTTGTTTTCAGTCCCTTCAAGAGTTGTTCTTCTTGCTGCAAATGCCCCATTGGAAGATAACCGTCTGAGGATCGCCACTCGTGCCAAAACATTGTTTGGGGACTTCAACGCCGCGAAGCAACGTGGTGTCTGCCGCGTCCTGGCAATCCTAAGTCGCATAAGAGCACCATTTCTGGGTGGGACTTCAGCTCCGCGAATCAACGTGAAGGTTTCGTCCTGACGATCCTAAATCATGCCAGGACGCCAGTTCTCGGTGTTCAACCACACGATTCATTGAAACTGCTGCGTGTTTTTAGACGAACGCACGCGGCGCTAAGGCGGCAGCGCGCCCTCCATCTCTGAAACAGCTGCAACAGTTTCAGGACATCTGTGCGCGGCGCCAAACGATGAGGCGAGAGCATTTTTTTGAAAACGGGCCGCCCTCCATCTTTGAAGCTGTTGCAAATGTCAAGCTCCAGCATCGTAGATAGCGAAGAAGTCTCAGGCGAAGCGCCTGGACAGCCATACCCACACGGCTGGGGGGTGCGACGGGGAGGAATTACGGTCGCGAGTTGGTGGTTCGCGCGTCGCTCCGCCGGCTTTGGCCCACCACGCCTCGGCGCGACCCGCTGCCGACGTCACGCCCCCCAGGCGTCCATGTGCCTAGTGTTTCCCGGTTTTTCCCAGCTCCCCGCCCCGCGGAGCGGAGCGACACGCGGTCCGCTCGCAAGGCACAGCGTGACGCCGGGACCGCCGCCGCGACACGCTGCGCAAACGTTCCTAACCGCACGCCCAGGGAATTACCCTGTGACGTACCCAACCCTTTCCATACACGTGGCGATTCTACTCAGGACAACTCACTGCTGACTGGCATTCTGAAGGACACCCAGGAGCGCACGAAAGTGGCGACAGTTGCGCAGATCGCAGGCCCCCCAGGGGGCGGCGAGGTCCCGAGGTGGTCCGCGCATGACGTACCTCCGCTGGGCCTCCCAGGAGCGCACGAAAGTGGCGACAGTTGCGCAGATCGCAAGCCCCCCAGAGGGCGGCGAGGTCCCGAGGTGGTCCGCGTATGACGTACCTCCGCTGGGCCTCCCAGGAGCCCACGAAAGTGGCGACAGTTGTGCAGATCGCAAGCCCCCCCCGGGGGCGGCGAGGTCCCGAGGTGGTCCGCGTATGAACCACCTCCGCTGGGCCTCTCAAGAGCCCACGAATGTGACGACAGTTGTGGAGATCGCAAGCCCCCCCGGGGGCGGCGAGGTCCCGAGGTGGTCCGCGTGGGACCCACCTCCGCTGGACCTCCCAGGAGCCCACGAAGTGGCGACAGTTGCGCAGATCGCAGACGGCACGAGAGAAGAAGAGAAGGGAACACAGGAAACAGGAGAGACGGAGGAGAAGAGGAGAGGAGGAGGAGAGGAGGAGAGGAGGAGGAGGAGGAGGAGGAGAGGAGGAGGAGGAGGAGGAGGAGGTGGAGACCACACTGCTCTATTCAAGACGAGTACCCAACACCACAGGAGGGTTGGGAAAAAGGATGGAGGAGGAAGAGGAGGAGGAGGAGGAGGAGGAGGAAGAGGAGGCTCCCCCTCGTCGTCGTCCTCAGCCCCTCGCTTCCATAGACATTTTGGCTCAAGCCGCTGTGGTTCGAGGCGTCTGACTTCAAGCAGCACCTCATTCTTTGGGAGTCGAGGCAGTGAGCGCAGCAAGCGCACCACGCGTTGAGTCATGCACCGGGTACTGGCAGGCGGGCCGAACATCTTGAAGCAGAACGCCTCCGAAGAGAGGGGCGAGAATGCTAGGCTCCAAGCTTTCATCGGCGCGATAGCCATCGGCGACCTGGTGAAGTCCACGCTTGGTCCCAAGGGTATGGACAAGATTCTGGTGCCCATGCCCGGTGGGGGCAACCAGCAGAACGCGATCGTGACAAACGACGGCGCCACCATCCTGAAGTCCCTGTGGATCGACAACCCTGCAGCGAAGATCCTGGTGGACATATCTAAGACACAGGACGCAGAGTGTGGGGACGGTACTACCTCGGTTGTCGTCCTGGCGGCAGAGATGCTGCGGAACGCCCAGATGCTCGTGGAGCAGAGGATGCACCCCCAGGTCATCATCAAGGGCTACCGCCTGGCGCTCGCCACTGCGCGGGAGACGCTCGAGGGCATGGCGCAAGACAACGGGGCCGATCCGGTCGCGTTCCGGGAGGATCTGCTGAAGATTGCGCGGACAACTCTCAGCTCGAAGTTGTTGAATCACGAGAAGGAGCATTTTGCCACGCTGGCGGTGGACGCAGTGCTGCGGTTGAAGGGCAGACCAAATTTAGATTACATCCAGGTCATCAAGAAGCCGGGTGCGTCTCTGAAGGACTCTTTCCTGGAGGAGGGGTTCATCCTCGAGAAGAAGATCGGCGTAGGACAGGCTAAGCTGCTTACAGAATGCAAAATCATGGTGGCGAACTGCCAAATGGACACAGACAAGATAAAGATCTACGGCGCGCGCGTCAAGACTGATTCCTTCGAAGCCGTCGCCGAGATAGAGAAGGCCGAAAAAGACAAGATGAGGACCAAGGTGGAGAAGATCTGCAAGCATGGCTGCAACGTGTTCATCAACCGCCAGCTCATCTACAACTACCCCGACCAGCTCTTCAAAGAGCACGGTGTGATGGCCATCGAGCACTCGGACTTCGAGGGCAGCGAGCGCCTGGCGGCGGTGCTCGGCGCCGACATCGTGTCCACGTTCGACAATCCGGAGCTCGTCAAGCTCGGCTACTGCAAGCAGATCTCTGAGATGATGATCGGCGAGGACAAGGTCATCAAGTTCTCCGGCTGCTCGCAGGGCATGGCGTGCACCATCATTCTGCGCGGCTCCTCGACGCACATCCTGGACGAGGCCGAGCGCTCGTTGCACGACGCGGTGGCCGTGCTGTTCCAGACGGTTCAGGAGACTCGCGTTGTCCACGGAGGAGGTTGCTGCGAGATGGCAATGTCGAAGGCGATCATGGAGAAGATGAGCCACGTGGAGGGCAAGGAGCAGATCGCAATGGAAGCATTCGGGAAGGCCCTGCAGCAGATACCGACAATCCTGGCGGACAACAGCGGCTACGACGCCGCCGAGCTGGTCGGGCAGCTGCGGGCCGCGCACGCCAGGGGTCAGAGTTCGTACGGCTTGGAGTTCACGACCGGCACAGTTGCAGACATGGCGCCGCTTGGCATCATGGAGTCGTACAGGAGTAAGCTGTGCCAGCTCTGCTCAGCGGCGGAGGCTGCCGAGATGATCATCCGGATCGACAACGTCATCAAGAATGCGCCCCGACAGCGCGACGGAGGCATGTGAGAGCGGCAGCGAGGGAATCTCGAAGAAGGAAAAACGCCATAAACGTAAACAGTGGGCGCTCCGAGCGGGTTTCCTGGATCTGCGCTGGACCCCCTTGGCCGCGCCTCCGGCGCGGAGCGCCAAAAGTTTAAGTTTATGGCGTTTTCTATTCGAGATTCGAGGGAGGACAAATCAGCATAAAACCATAAACTTTCGCAGCTTCGCGCGGATCTCCTGGATCGGCGCTGGCCTTCCCAGCCGTTTGCGCGCGGAGCGCGCCATGGGGCGGCGCCGGAGGCACCGCCAGAGGTCCCAGCGCCGATTCAATCGAGTACACGTAATTACTCTGGGTGGGATATCAATCGATGGGTGGGCGACTAACCTTCCGACGGAGCTTGCCCATCCCCCCCCCCTCCTCCTCCTCCTCCTCCTTCTCCTCCTCCTCCTCCTCCTCCTTCTCCTCCTCCTCCTCCTCCTCCTCCTCCTCCTCCTCCTCCTCCTCCTCCTCCTCCTCCTCCTCCTCCAACCCCCCTCCACCCGTTCCGACAGCATGTGCCCAAACCCCCCAGCGGATCCAGTGGGGGGGCGATCATTGCCCCATCCAGAGTGAGAGTGACCCTTCGCCGGAGTGACCTCTGGCGCGGGCTCATCGGGGTCCCCCGATCGCCGGACGCGATGCGATGGCAGCGTCTTGCCCGCTTGTGTTTGGTCACCCCGCGGCCGCCAGAACGCCGCGGGGTGACCAAAGGTCACTCTTGCCTAGGGCCACTTTTTGCGTGTAGCCGATCCAAGAAACCCGCGTGGGCCGTCTAAAGTTTGTGTCTGTGTTGTTTGTTCTCTCTGTCGGGAACGGCGCTCGAACCTGGGAGGCCCCTCCAGGCAGCACGTGCGCGTGCCGAGCCCGGGATTGGCGACCGCGCTTTCGTCGCTGTGTGTGTGCATCCTTCTGCATTGGCTTGCGGCTGCACGGCGTCTTGCATTTCGGCTTCTCCACCCTACATCCTCCTCCTCCTCCTCCTCCTCCTCCTCCTCCTCCTCCTCCTTCTCCTCCTCCACAATTACTCAATATGAATACTACTCTCCCTCTTCCCCTGATGGCGTGCTGGGAGTAGTAGACCATCCCCCCGCGTACTGTTTTTTTACACAGGATTCCCGGGAGTTGGGTTTTCGCCTGCGTTTTTTTCAAAATGCTGCTCTCGCTGAGGCGCCGGCCTCATTTCTGCTCCCGAATCGTTCCGAATCGTGCTCCCGCTGCAGCGTGGGCCTCATTTTCGGATCGGTGTTTTGCTTCCGTCGTTCAGGATGGCGTTCTCGCCGCAGCGCGGGCCTCTTTCTCGCGCGCCCATCCGCCCGCCACCACCGCGCCGCACCACGCCCCGCCCCGCCGCACGCACACCCACCGCCACTGCCACCCACCAACGCACGCACGCACGCACGCGCACCACCACCGCGCACCGCCACCACCACCGCACTACCCCACCCCCCACCACCACGCTACACCGCGTCACACCACATCACACGCGCGCACACACAGCCACGCACGCACGCACGCACGCACGCACGCACGCACGCACGCACGCACGCACGCACGCACGCACGCACGCACGCACGCACACACACGCACACACACACACACTCACACACACACTCACACACACATACACACGGCATACACGCACACACAGAGACACACACACACACACCACCACCGCCACCACCACCACCACCACCACCGCCATCACGCACGTACGCACCTGGCCCACCACCAAACCACCAAGACGCCACACCACGTCACACCACAGCACACGCGCGCACGCGCACACACACACACACACATACACACCACCACCACCACCACAACAACCACAACCACGCACACACGCACGCACGCACGCACGCACGCACGTGCACCACCACCCACTACGCAAACGCGCGCGGAGCCACAGGTCCGCTACGACACGCGTCCGCGGATAGAGAAAATCAGCGCCATGGTAAGGGATGGGAGGGAGGGGTAGGATGTCAGATGTTGACGCGAGCGCACCTAACTTGTCCTCCTCCTCCTCCTCCTCCTCCTCCTCCTCCTCCTCCTCCTCCTCCTCCTCCTCCTCCCCGTCCCCCTCCTCCTCCTCCTCCTCCTGATCCTCCTCATCCTCTTCCTCCTCCCTCCTCCTCCTCCTCCTCCTCCCCCTCCCCCTCCTCCTGCTTTGTCCTCGCACTACTTTTCTTTCCTCCTCCTCCTCCCCCTTCCTCCTCCTTCCTCCTCCTCCTCCTCCTCCTCCTCCACCTCATCCTCCCCTTCCAACCTCCTCCTCCTCCTCCTCCTCCTCCTCCTCCTCCTCCTCCTCCTCCTCCTCCTCCTCTTCCTCTTCCTCCCCCTCCTCCCCTCCTCCTCCTCCTCCTCCTACTCCTCCTCGTCGTCTTCTTCTCCCTCCAACTCCCGTTCCTGCGCGCCGCTCCGAATCGGCCGCCGCGAGACGCTGTGGTCGCACGCGGGGGTACCACCCCTCTCAGCTGCCCGTTGTGCTGCACAAGCAGGAGCAGAGAGCAAACATACAATTTAGATGACAGTTCAGAGAACACCACTTGTGCAGCGTCCTCTGTGCTACCTCAAGTATCCGTGCAGTCAGTGTTGCCTAGTTCGATCCCGTTTGGCGCGTCGTCTGGAGATCGGTACGTCGTTGATTTGTCGATTCGCGGAGCCGCTCGGCGCTGTTGAGCAGTCCGAATAATCTAAGCCGCGTGACCCGCGTCAGTTGCATTCCAACCCAATTTTACCGTGCAGCCGCTATTTTCTGCGCCAGTCGATGCCCCTTCAATTTTGCAAGGCCACCGAATCAGACTCTCCCCTCCCTTCATGGGAGGAAAAACCACCCGGACCACACAATTGGCGTTTACTAAACTGCCTTGGGCGTTTACTAAACAGGCCTGCCCTGCTTGATTCCTTCCTTCCTTGGGTGCGTTTACGAAACGCCCTCGCGTGCCGGGGTGGTTATCATCGGGGTGGATTTTCTGCCCTCTACTTCTCTCCTCTCGGCTCCGCAGCCCCCTCCCCTCGGCTCCGCCCCGCCGCGCGAGCAAGCGAACAACAGCGCTGCTCGAGAGCGCGTGCGCGGTCGCCAGCGGCAGCGAGCGAGTGTATAGTCTGCTCCTGCCGCTCGTGCCGCGCGCCCCCCCCCCCCCGGGCACTCGCTGCGCGCAGGCTCGTGACCCGCAGGGCGCGAGCGCGACTGGCCAAGCTCGGGGGGGCGAAAGAGCATCAACGTCACGCCGCCGTGGGCCGTGGGGGGACCCCAGGGCCCCATCGGCGTGTTGCTGTCGATGTGCGCTGTCCCCTTCGGGCGAAGAACGAGGGAGCAACACGCCGATGGGTGCCCCGGTAGTGCCCTGGGGACCCCCGCGGTGACGTGACATTGATACCCTTCCTCCCCCTCGCTCTCGGAGCTCGTGAGGCGTTGTCTCATCTGGCGCGCTCCGAAAACGGGCCGCGCGCTTGTGCATCGAAGGAGGTGGCAGCTCTTCCTCGGCAGAGGGCGGCGGTGGGCCTGCGGAGGGCCGGCGGGAGCAAGCTCCGGTGCTCCAAGAGTACGCGGCGTGAAAACGACCACAGCCACTGCTTTTCTTTTGTTGCCGCCTTCCAGCCCGCAGAAAAAAAGCAGTGGTTGTGGTCATTTTCGTTGAGCTTGGCACCAGGGAAATGACCACAACCACTGCTTCTTTTTCGGCCGGCTGGAAGGCGGCGCAAACAAGAAGCAGTGGCTGTGGTCATTTTCCCGTCCCGCAAAGAGATGGCAGCTCTGGGGGGTTCAGGGCTCCCGGAGCCCGCCATCTCATCCCTCCCCCCGCCTCCTCGGGGGCGGCGAAGAGGGAGGTGATGACAGGGGTGGGGGTGGATATCGTGGGGCTTGGCCGCCGAGGTCTCCCCGGATTGCATGGCCCCCTCCTCTTCTCTCACTCTAGGCCCCCTAGATGGGGTCGGGGTCGGATGATCGCGCATCATTGCCGATGCATCGCCGATTCGGCTCGATGTGCAGCCCGATTTGCTGCACATCGACGTCGCCGATGCATCGCCGACGTCGACGATGCATCGCCAGCGCATCGCCGATGCATCGCGGATGCATCGCCGATGCATCGCCGATGCATCGCCGATGTACGGGCGATGCGGCGCGATCCTCCGACCCCATCTACTCGGACCCCATCTAGGAGGCCCCTAGATGACGATGAAGATGCTTGTTGAATGCTGAGTGCAACGTCATCGTCAACTTCATCGTCATCTCGAAGAAGACAAAGCGCCATAAACATAAACTTTGAGCGTTCCACGCGGATTTCTTGGATCCGCGCTGGGCCACCCCGGCGGCGCCTCCGGCGCCGCCCCTGGCGCGCTCCGCGCGCCAGGGAGGGGGTCAAACGCAAATCCACGAAATCTGCGCGGAGTGCAAAAAGTTTGTGTTTATGCCGTTCTTTCTCCTTCTGGTCGTCGTCATCGTCATTGTCCCCCTCGCCACCTCGGAGGTGCCGTGGGGAGATTGCAGGACGTCGGCGAGAGGCGAGGAGGAGGAGGAGGAGGACCAGTGTAAACCCAAGAGTCATCAAGGATGTTGGAATTGACCCTCCCTCCAAGCTCCCCCTTCATAGGCCCCTGCATCGGTTCACTTCCATTTAGGGAAATGCCTCGTTGGAAGACACCCGTTTGAAGACCCTGAAGCATGCCAAAACATCAACGCCACGTATCAACCTGACGGCTGCGTCTTGACGATCCGGAATCGTGCTAGAGCGCCTGTTGTGGGATTTCAACATTGCGAACCAACAGAACAGCTGCACCCGCATAATCCTGAATCCTTCATAAACACAATTTCTGGTACGTTGATCATGGGAAGCCGGGAAGCTCTTGCACAGTTCGAGAACGAATGTGCACGGCGCTATGGTGAGAGCTACATCTTGAAAAGGAACCGCCCCCAATCCGTGAAACTCTTGCAAATGTTTAAAACGAATGCGCCGCGCCAAGGCGAGAGACACATTCTGAAAAGGAGCCGTCCCCAATCCGTGAAGCTCTTTCAAATGTTGAAAACGAGTGTGCGCGGCGCTAAGGCGAGAGCCACATTTTGGAAAGGAGCCGCCCCCAATCCGTGAAACTGTTGCTGCAAAGTTTCAAAGCGAATGTGCGCGGCGCTAAGGCGAGAGCCACATTCTGAAAAGGAGCCGCCCTCAATCCGCGAAAATCTTTCAAAGTTAAAAACGAATGAACGACCCGCCCTCAATCCGTGAAGCTCTTGCAAATTTCGAAAACGAATGTGCGCAGCGCAAAGGCGAGAACCACATTTTGAAAACGACCCGCCCTCCATGTTTGAATTCAGCTTCAGAGTCATCAATGGTGAGGAAGTCTCAGGCGAAACGCCCAGCCCGCCCTAAAACCGGCCTCGAGTTGCGACATGAAAAAGTTGTTTATAAGGAGAAGGAACGGAAGAGGAGGAGGAGGAGGAGGAGGAGGAGGAGGAGGAGGAGAAGGAGGAGGAGGAGGAGGAGGAGTGGGGAGGCATCGGAGACGGAGGGGGTGGGGGCGAGGAGGAGAAGGGAGAGCAGGAGGAGTCGACGGACAAACATGGGAGGTATTTCGAGCATCTACGGGCCTCGCGTCCAGAAGCCCATAGCACTCACCGATGGCATATGACGGTGCCGTTGATAGCGAAGTAGCTCGCCAGGCAGAGACCATGCGCGATGGAACATCATTGCCGCGGCCTTGACTGTTTTAGCGGAGCGAGCCAGCACCTCGCTGACATCCTCTCCGACCAGGGCTCTTTTGAGTCAGAGTGAGGGGGCGACGGTCTTACATTGTCCCTGGGTGCATGGCAGAAGTTCGATTCCGCGGTGCGGACTCATGCCTTTCTTCTTCTTCTTCTTCTTCCTCTTGCCAGCCCATCCTCGCGACCCAACTGCGACCCACGCGCGACCCGCTCCGCGCCCCACCCGCGACACACCCAGGACCCACCCGCGATCCGCCGCGCGATTGCCCGCCGATCCGCCAGAGATCCATCCGCGCCCCACCCACATCCTGCATGCCCCGGTGCGCCCGTGCTGAAACGCAACACGTACCGTTTTGTTCAAAACGTCTGGATTGAACACGCACTGTACGGCCATCGGCCTGACCTAAGGAACGAGAAATAAGGAACGAAGCCCCTTTGTTTTCCAAGGAACAATGCATAAGGAACGATCAATATTGAAAAAACGCATACGGAACGATGGATAACGCATGCAAGCCTAGGGAACGACCGAGCCCCTTTTGAAAAGCAAGTGTTCCTTACTCAAGCCGCTCACTGTACGTGATTCACCGCGTGTTGGCCTACGTCTTAGCTGCTGTGCCGCGCCGGGCCCATACGCTCAAGCTACCTGTTGAGCTTCGTGTCAGCGCGCTCTGGGTGGCGTGGCTCGTGTCGGGGCGGCTAGCTGACCAAAGCTGGCGCCTGCGGCGGGCTCGCTGTGCACCGTGTAGAACATCGGCGCACGCGGCAGACATCTTCAAATGTGTTTTCGAGCCTCGCATACTGCCGACGACCCCTCCCCTCACTCTTATCAGCAACTGCGGGGGCTATGGTATCTACGGGGTGTGTGCGAAGCTTGTCTGGCAGCGCATTGACTGTCATTCACCGGCGCTGCCAGGTTTCTGGTCTGATTATTCTCCCCTTTGTGATCCGCAGAGGGCCGACAGCCTCATCGTTATGTCGCGACTCACCTTTGAATGATGCCCTCCAGCTCAGGACAAGAAGACACCGCAGGCGCCAGTTGATGCAGCGAGACGCTTGGAGGACATGGGTCCTGCCACCGACGACGAGAAGGTGTTTGGCCTCGTCATCCTGGGAATGGTGCGACGGGATGTAGAGATGGGCCATTGGAGGTAATCAGTTCCAGCCGAACAGGGTCGATGTAACATAATCGTTGTGACATCACGTTGGCGAATTGCAGGCACGCTTTCTGTACTGTCGCACACGTGTGTTCATGTTGTACGTGATCGCTGTGTCGCCGATGCACAAGTTCAGCATCAGGTATATCCAGCGCAGTTACAATCGTTGTGTTCGGGAGCGTGCAAGGTTGGAGAGCAAATTAATCCTGAGCGCCGCAGGAAGGAGAGCGTATGGCGTCGGACACTGATTACGGACTCGTGCAGTCGAGGGCCAGCTTGTGTGAAGATGCGGTGGCAGGACGCCAGAGCGACGCTCTCAGAAGGAATGGTAGGCAATCACGGGAAGGAGGATGAGGAGGAAAGTAGGCAGGCATGGTAGTGACGAGGATGAGGAGGAGGTGGACGAACAGATGGAGGAGGAGGAGGAGGAGGAGGAGGAGGAAGACGACGAGGAGGAAAGGGAGGGGGAGGAGGAGGAGGGAGAAGGTGGTTTGTGCATCTACTGAAATGCATCCCACGAGGGCAGCGCCACGGATGGCGGGAGGAGGAGGGGGAGCAGCAGCTAGGACGAGGAGGAGGAGGAGGAGGAGGAGAGAGGGAGGAGGGGGAGAAGGAGGGGGAGGAGGAGGGGGCGGAGGATGGGGGAGGGGAGGAAGAAATTGGGAAGGGAGGGGGGGGAGGAAGGAGGGGGAGGAGGAGGAGGAGGATGAGGAGGCGGAGGAGGAGGAGGAGGAGCGAGGAGTCGGAGGAGTAGGAGGGGGAGGGTAAAAGAGGGAGGGATTGGGCGGGAGGTGAGGGAGGCCGAGGTGTCGGAGGAGGGCGTGCTGCCCCGAGAGGCTCGCCCGCCGGCCCGCGGAGGAGGAGGCCAGGCGTGGCGGAGCTCCCGCCGCGGAGGCCTCCTCCGCGGTTGCGTCCGGGGGCCCCCCGGGCCCATTTTTGGGGAGGCGGAAGCCCCTCGGCGCCACCCCGGGGCCGGCCAGCTCCGGCCGGTCCGCCGAGGTCCGCCCCGGGTGCGCGCCCGGCGCCTCGGCTCCCCCCCCCTGTGCTCGGCCACGCGCAGAGGGGGGGAAGAGGAGGGGGTGAGGCCTCTTAGAAGCACCCCTGCTCCTCAGAAGGCGCTGGCCTCCTCTGTGGACGCAAGGCCGGGGCCTTCTAAGAAGCAGGGGTGCTTCTAGACGTAGGAGTGACCTTTCGCCGGAGTGACCTTTGGTGCGGGCACAGATGGGTTCCCAGAGGGCTGAAAACGGAGCGGTGGCAGCGGCTTGCGCGCCCAGGTTTGGTCCCCCCGCGGCCCCCAAAAAGCCGCGCACCAAAGGTCACTCTTACCCAGGGTCACTCCTGCGTGTAGCCGAAAGAAGCCTTCCCCCCTCCTCCTACCCCTGCTTCTTAGAAGGCGCTGGCCTTCTCTATGGACGTCAGGCTGGGGCCTTCTAAGAAGCAGGGGTGCTTCTAAGAAGCCTTCCCCCCTCCTCCTACCCCCTAAAACAGGGCTAGGATCGGGATAAATCGCTCCAGAGCGTTCCGGAGCGCTCTCAGAGCGTTCCGGAACGCTTTGGAGCGGCCGCGGCGCCCAATACATCCTCCAAACCCGCCGATTCTCAGAGATTTCGAGTTATCCCGATCCGATTTTTTTGTCCCGATCTTCGCGTCGTTATATACCCCCCTCTGCGCGCCGCTAATGGGTGCCGCGCGCATCGCTTGTCCGGCCGGCTCGTTTGGGGTTGGGCCCCCCCCCGGGTTGGGGGGGTGGGGGGAGGGGGGCCGGCGCGGGGGGCGTGGGGGGGCCGCGGGACGGGGGGCCTGGGCAGGCGCGGGGAGGATCCACTGGGCCTGGGGCCAGGGGCCCGCCTGGCCCAGTCGGGCCCTGCGGGCCCAGCGGCCTGGGTCCTCCTCCTCCCTCCTCCTCCTCCTCTCTCCTCCTCCTTCCTGCCTGCCTCTCCTTCCTCCTCCTTACTCCTTCCTCCCTTCTCCTCCTCCTCCTCCTCCTCCTCCTCCTCCCTCCTCCTCCTCCTCCTTCCTCCTCCTCCCCCTCCTCCTCTCCCTCTCCTCCTCTCTCCTCTCCTCCTCCACAGCGGGCCCGGACTGGGGGGTACTCCTGGGGGGCCCAGTAAAACGACGCGAAGATCGGGGCAAAATCGGATCAGGATAACTCGAAATCTCTGAGAATCGGCGGGTTTGGAGGATGTATTGGGCGCCGCGGCCGCTCCAGAGCGTTCCGGAACGCTCTGAGAGCGCTCCGGAACGCTCTGGAGCGATTTATCCCGATCCTAGCCCTGTTTTACTGGGGCCCAGCGGGCCCGGGGCGCCCTGGGGGCCCCAGGGATTCCTTTGCAATTTACTCAAACGCCGCGCCCTCGGCACTCAGGAGTCACGCTCTCGCTCTGGATCTCGCATGATTTATCTGGAAATCGCGCTATCGCGCAAGTTTTCCTCGCGATGCATGCAATCATCACGCTTCAGCAGCCCGCCTGCTCGACCCAGCGGAGGAGGCAGACAGGCAAACGGGCAAGCGGGCAGGCGGGCAAGCAGGCAGGAGGAGCAGGATCCCATAAGAGCTTGTCAGACCCCCCAGAACCACTGAGCCTTCTGAAGCACCCGGGGGTCCCTCCCAAGCTTTCTCCTCCTCCTCCCTTCTTCCTCCTCCTCCCTCACCAGACCTCGGACGTGGTGCCGTTGTTGCAGCCGTGTGCCCCTGAACTCTCGACCCCGTCCCTGCGAGTTAGCTCTCGCTCTGGGCAGTTTTCTTGCAGCCCTGCAGCCCGAAACCCTTTGCAGGCCTGGGCTGAGTACCACCACCTGGGGTGGACAAGATCACGACGCCCGCGACGTGGGACGCTCCAGAAAGGGCGCCTTCGATGGATCGACAAACCATTGAACAAACAAATACACATTGAGAGTTCTTTGGTTTTTGGGGGGCCAAGATCCTTTCATTTCTAATTGTTCTATCCTGGGCCTCTTCCTGGCCACTAGGGGGCAGGCACACTTAGAAACGAGCACAATTAGGAATGAGCACGATTAGACATGTACGACGTGTACACGTCGGTCGTTGAAAGTCGGTGTTCTGGGACTCCCAGATCCCAATCTGCTTCAGGCGCCCTGCTACCTCAAGAATCGATATGCTCTTGCTGCGCGTTGTTCTTATTCTCTGGGAGGGCCTGGACCGCATCTGCTATATCCGATGTCCCACTTGATGTTTCCACGTACTCATTCCGACCGACGTGTATGGTACAGCGGGAACCCATGCCAAGAAACACCCTGCTTGCCTCCAGGGTGCCCTGGGCTTCTTGTGTTTCGCTAATTCTACGATGGAAGGCTCGACGTCCGCACACCAAACATCCGTGCACGTCCTGGGGTCTCGCGGTCGGGTTTCTTGGGGGAGGTTTCTCGTGGTCGAGCTTCCACTGCCTTGGCATCGCTCGGACGTGTGCATTTTTGTTCTCGGCGACGGCCATCGAGGACCGTCCTTGATCCTTTGGCGAAAAAAAACACGCACGAGATCGAAAAATGCACGAGGAACGGACGTCCGAGCGATGGCGAGCTGCATGGGCTCTACTCACCCTCCACCGCCGCTGGACGCCTGGTCTCCCCCACGCCCCCCCCCCCCCCTCCCTCTCCGCCTCTCCCGGAGGAGGCAGGGGGTGCCCGGCAGGTAGTCCTCTGGGGCATGGCCTCCACGCTCGGGGTGCCCCCAGTGGTCACCGCCGTCTCGGGCCTGTCCGTGCTGATCCTGGCCGGCGTGCTGACGTGGGACGACTGCGTCAAAAACAAGGCCCCTGACGAACGAACACACACACACACACCACACACACACACACACACACACGCACGCACGCACCACACCACACACACACATACACATACACATACACATACACATACACATACACATACACATACACATACACATACACATACACATGCACACACATACACATACACATACACATACACATACACACACATACACATACACATACACATGCACATACACCTACACATACACATACACATACACATACACATACACATACACATACACATACACATACACATACACATACACATACACATACACATACACACACATACACATACACATACACATACACATACACATACACATACACATAGACATGCACATGCACATGCACATGCACATGCACATACACATACACAGACACAGACACAGACACAGACATCTATACCTACACATGCACATACACATACACATGCACATATACAGACACAGACACATACACACACACATGCACATACACATACACATAGACATTCACATTCACATACACACATGTACACATACACACATACACATACACATACACATACACATACACATACACATACACATACACATACACATATACACACACACGCACGCACGCACACACATACACACAAACACACACACACACACAAAAACGCACAAACACACATACACACACGCGCGCGCACACACACGCGCACACACATAAACGCACGCACACACGCACACATGCACTCGCGCACACACACACACACACACACGCACACACGCACACACGCACCCACACACGCACACACAAGCACACACACACACACACACACACGCACGCACGCACGCATACACACACCCACTTACCCATAGGACATAGGGGGATCGGAGGCAGGAGGACCGGCTATGCGTATGTGGGTGCGGGACGCCGGACCCCGTGGGGGACTCCCGTTCGAGCGGGGACCCCATCCGACAGTACGCACCTGTAGCACCCTCTCCGTCACACCTGTGGGTAGGGGTGCGTGCTGTTCGTTCGTCGGCTCCCTCCCTCCCGCCGTCGTCGGGCGTCGTCGCCGGCAATTCTCGCTGCCGCCGCCGTCGTCCTCCTCGTCCTCCTCCTCCGTCCTCCGCCTCGCGCGCGCTTACTTGTGCGAAGCGGCGGGTGGGTGAAGGCAGCGCGGCGCGGAGCGCTCGTGGAACGAGCCTGAGCGCTCGCAGGACGCGCCAGCCTGCGCGCTCGCAGGGCGAGCTTGATGCGCATCCTGCTCCGCTCCCCGCGTTGCGGCACGCGGCACGCCCCCTCCTTCAGGCCCATCCTGGCATCGCTCGGACGTGTGCATTTCTCCTGCGGCGAGGACCATCGAGGAGCATCCTTGACCATTTGGCGAAGAAACCACGCACGAAACCGAAAAAAGCACAGGGAATGGACGTCCGAGCGATGGCCAGCCATGGTTCCGTGCATGAGCTTGCCTGTCGCGGGTGATCGTGGCCCCGTGTGGTGCTCCC